GCCATATTCTCTCGAGGTTCGGATCCCAAGGAAGTACGCTACGCCTAAAGAATATTTATTATTCGTCTGTTTAATCCAACTCACATGATTCTGCTCGAACTGGACTGTCTGCTCGGAGCAAGAAACGAAAGCGTGCCGGGTGGCAAACTGCGCTTGCACACATTCCTCCTGTGAAGATAACGGTTCCCTCATTAATCAGTTTCAACAGTCGCTCACTGTTTAGCAAACTGGTTGAACTCACGGATCTACTACCTAATCGCGAGCACACAAACACGTGTGTGATATGCATACAGGAATCGTGGCTCAACGAAAACATAGACGATTCGCTGGTCAACATACCTGGTTTTGCAAGTTTTGGATAAGATAGAGAAAGAAGCAAACAGAAGTCCGGATGCGGGGTCATAACCTACATTAACTCCAGTTGGTGCGGCAAGTCCGAAACGTTATTTGTTTTCTCCTCTTATGGTATTGACTGTTTCATATCGACCTAGGTTTTCCCCTTATCGGATCACAATTATTACAAATCTATACATTGCTCCTTCTTGCTCACAAACTGAAATTGGTTCTTTCTACGATGCATTTATTCCTTTCATTGTTCCCTTAGTGGACGATAATTCAATTTTAATTGTCGGTGATTTTATTCCCGGATCAACCCAAGTTTTACTTGATTTCGGTCTCTCAGATCTCACTTTAACGCCTACCAGAGGAAATGCTATTTTAAACAAGGTTATAACTAATCACCCTAATGTTTTCTCTCTCTCAAACTGAAGGCGCCAACCTCGTCTATTGGCCACTGTCTCCTATATCTTAGACCTAAAGTTTACTCTCGGTTGGCATACCCTACATTTATTTAAACAAAAAAGATGAACATAAAAATTCGGAATCTTTCCGCCGACAGACTCATTTTCCTCAGAAAATCTCTTGTTATTATCTCCTTATGGTTTTCCGTTCAACAGTCTCCCTGTTCTGTTGAACATTTTACGGGAACAGCTAACGTGATTTTCAATCGATGCTGTCCTATGGAAACGAGTTTTGTTTACACTGGCAGAGTATGTTCTCCGCGGTTGAAAGCTCTTAGAATACAAAAAGAACTGGCATTCAAGATGCATCAAACAGCCACTGTCAAACAGGTTGTGCTGGAAATCAAGACAGAGATCAGAAGACTGAGTGCTTCATTCGCAAAACAAATTCTAGGAGCTGGAGATGGAAGACGGTTATGGCAAGGGATTAGATTGCTTAGCGGNCAAACCTGTTGACGTGGGCAGCCTCAATGCTGCGTTTATTTATCCTTCGAATGACCTCCTATCTCCGTACTCCACAGATCATCCATCTAACATAGACCCAGTCACCCATGAGGAGGTCTATCATCTTCGTAAAATTACGAGAATCAGGAAAGCAGTTGGTCCCGATGGTTTATCTTCGTCATTGCTCAAATATGGCGCTAGCTCAGTTACAGAGATGTTAGTGTTCCTTATTAACCAATCAATTCCGGATTCCTGGAGACCGTTGAGCATTATTTCCATTCCTAAACCCTCTTCATCTAGCCATTTATCTAAACGCTTTCGTCCTATCGCCATCATCTGCGCTGGACTTAACCTTGTAGAGCGCTTTAGTCTCACCCG